AGGTGTTAAAGATATATATATATATATTATATATAATTTATATATATAATATATATAATATATATAATATATATATATTATAGATATATATCTCAGGTGTGGTGATTCTTAAATTGTTTTTAGTAGGTACAGCATGATATTCATCTGGGGAACTTGTTAAAGGCTGATCACAATGCCTTACCTAGTAGAATTTTTTCAGTAGATCTGGGATAAGGTCCAAGAAACTGCATTTTTTTGTTTGTTTTGTTTTTTGGTACCAGAGATCAAACTCTGGACCTTGCGCTCTCGAGGTAAGCGGTGGAACCACTGATCTAAATCTCTGGCCTAAACTGCATTTTTAACAAGCAACCTAGTGATCCCAAATCAGGCAGTAACTGACTCATCCTTTGAGAACTAGTGAGACTAAGATCTCTTCTGTTTATTCTACAAATGAATATTTTAGTAAAAATGTGTAGTCAATGTAATGACTGCTCAAAGACAGTTCTCTTAAGTTTTATAAAAGATCCATGACAAGTCTTTAATATGTTGATAGAATTAAAGTTGAAGTTCCTGAAATGTGGGATAGTAAGGTAAGAGGGAGAGGGTTTTATTCTTACCCTTTGTCATAAAACATTAGATTTGAACAGAAAAATAGAAAATGTAAATCCAACTTGAAAATCTTTAAGCACGTTAAACAATCCATTCTGCATATGCCAAGGTGCAATTTGATGGAGTCCTGGAAAAAGCAATACAATTATCTTAACGAAGAGCGCCTGTGTAAGGCGAGCTACCAATCAGAGTTTTAAGGCCCAGGCTTATAAAAACTGCAGCCTGAAACTCACAAAACAGGTATGAGTGTGAGTTGTAATCATATGCAAGAGTCTTCTAGCTCTGGCCCACTTGTTGGGACTAGAGAGATTTTGCTGGCAAGTATATTTGCTTAGCTAATCTTAAAGTGTTTTTCTTTGTAAACCACATTTTCAAACTGCTCTCTCAGAAAGTTATACCATTTGTAAACATATATATATTTTTAAAAGTGTTATTTAGTGTAATTTACCCTCCAATATTAGGATTTATTTTACTTAAGTTATATTTAAGTGTTTTAAAGTTTTAAAAAGATTTTTTTCTTTTGAAAAATTTTAAAAACAAAGTTGAATTGATTTCTTGGTTGTTTTGCTGCTTTGAGTATTAATATGCTTATTTAGTTAACCAAGGATTTCTTTCTAGAAAATTATTTTTAACACTTTGGGGATCTAAAATTTCCACATGGTCATTATGTACTGATAATAAGTCAAATTGTTGTTCCTGTGTGATTTCTTATTGCTTCCCATTGTGGTTGTAGGACTCCTCATAGATTGTTCTTAAATCATGAGAGATGAAATTGCAGCAGCAGTTTTCTTTGTCACAAGATTGGTGAAAAAACATGAAAAATTGAATAAACAGCAAATAGATGACTTTGCAGAAAAGCTGATGAAAATCTTGTTTGAAACATATAGAGGTCACTGGCACCCCAGTTGCCCTTCTAAAGGACAAGCCTTCAGGTAAGTGCTACTATGTGGCATGGAAAAGGGAAGTAACCTATAAGCAATAACCACCTGCTAGGAAAATGAAATGATTTTCTTGTCTACAAGTTGTGAAAGTTTTATGGACTCAAATCCATTTGTCTGAATGTGGGCTTGAAAGAAAGATGTAGCAGTTGACAGTGTAGATGAAAACTATGGAGGAAGCCCCAGTATATAAGGTAGATTACACAATTTCCAACATGTGTTTGCCATGAAAGATATGCAGTGAAATCTGGTAACTAATCATGTGATTTACTGCTACAACACATATTATGAATCACTGTCAAAACTTGATGTTTTACTCCTGTTTGTAAGAGTGGAGGTTGGGGGAGGGTAAGGTGGGAGTAAGGTGGGAGGTGTGTGTATGGAGTAGTGTACCCACAATATGATTTACTTTCCTGTTAAAGTACCTGTCATCATGTCTTCCCTTTCCTGCTCCTTCCTCAAGGTGTATCAGGATAAACAATCAGAATAATGACCCCATTTTAAAAAGGGCTTGTGCTGAGAGTAAAGTGAATTATTTTCACCTGGGACTTCCAAGAGAGCTGACCATATGGGTAGATCCCTATCAAGTGTGCTGTAGGTGAGTATTCTCAGTTTGTGTGCTCTGTGACCCCTGGAAACAAGTTTATTTTAGCCAGGTCTCTATCTTTGTGAAAGATGATGATCTCAAAGACTTAATTTAGGGCCGGAGGGCGGGCAGGGGGGGGTTAGCTCAGTGGTTCCACCGCCTGCCTTGCAAACGCAAGGTCCTGAGTTTGATCCCCGGTACCAGGAAAAAAAAAAAAAAAGACTTAGCTTAGTAGTGAGGACATACTACTAGGTTAAGATTTTAGATGAAAACTCTTATTTTCACATGGAGATGAAGTGGGAAGTGCAAAGAAGTTGCAGAATATTTGCAGTGTGACTTTAATCACTGCACTCTGTTGCAAACTGTAGACTTGTAGCTTCTCACTACTATATGCAACATCAGGAGGGAAGAAGAGTTATCTACAATGGGGGCAATTTAGTCCTTTAGTTGAACCAAAAGAAACCAATCTTTGCTGTTTTTTTTGAGCAATTAACCAAGATAGCTTTAAAGGATATCCTCACTAATTATAAAGTATAGTCCTAAAGATCATAGTGTCCTTCCCTCAATTCTTTTAGAACAACAAAAGTTGTTTTTTTAAAACAACTTTTTAAAAGTTAGCATATTGTCTCCAGACATGTTTGTTACAGAGATTCAACTTTTCACAAATTTAATCTCTAAACAATTTCTTTTCCTACTTAGGTACGGTGAAAAAAACCATCCATTTGTAGTTGCTTCTTTTAAAGGCAGATGGGAGGAATGGGAGTTAACTCAACAAATCAGTTATGCTGCTAATAGAGCCTCATTAGACTACTCCTCTGGCATGTCCTCTGATGAAGAAAGTGGTAGCATGGAATCTCAGATCATCCCTAAAGTCAGCAATCCCAAGAGTGTCTATCAGGTCAAATGTGCTCCAGTTCTTCTGTTTTTTTTCTATTTTAATTCTAAAAAATGTTTGCTTGGTGTAAACAAACAAAGCATGGAAAGAATAAATATAGAGATTAAAAACCCTATAATGTTAGTGTTTTGGCAAATTTTTTTGTGCCCCCAACCCCTATGTATTACCTCTACTTGGCTGAGTTCTTAGGATCTGTGATTTTGTTGCTGTTGTCTTGTTTCTTTGTACAATATTTGAAATCACGGGTTTCCTTCCACTGAAATTCCTTCGAATTAATGAGGTTTTTTTTTTTCTGCCAATCAAAACATGTTATTTATACAAAGTTCGGAATATTCAGGAAAGATCAAAAGAGTATAATCTTGCTTAAGAAGTTTTTCTTAGAGACCTTTTTAAAAAAATCACAACTCATTGAAAAATCTGCTTATTTATAGAAGTGAAGTTCATGTAATAATGTAAGTATTAGGAACACTCCCCCAATAGTTTGAACTGCACTCAAATTGATTTCATAACCGACAATTTGAAAATTACTGGTCTAGAATCTGTTTATCGTTGTATCTTTTCTTAAATATATATTAGAATGCTAAAGCAATTAAAAATTTTAACATTTTAATGTTCAGTTGATTCCTTTAAAATTTACTATTGACATTCTAGTTGTTTCCACAATTACTTTAATTAAAAAACCTATTTTTAAAAAACCTATTTAAAATTTAGACATTGCTATACAAGTTATTTCTTGAGGTTTGATATGTAGACATGGAATTATTGGGTCATTGGGTATGAACATTTTATTGCTTTTTGACACATGTCCAAATATTTTTGTAGGCTCTAACTCCATGTAAAAGTATCTGTTTTACCATTTTTCATAGAATTGACTATTTTCATTTAAGAAACAGATACTTTGATAAAAATGATATCTATAAAAGATAATATAAATTAAATATTCCAAAAAACTCCACTTGCTGAAATATTTTGGATACTTACAGCCTTACATATTTTCTCTTCCTCATTCATTCTGTAAAATCCTAATGTACTTATAGGTCAGAGTATTTTAATGTTATATTACTGGCAACTGTTTCCTCCCTAATTTTCTAAACTATCGGTATGTGTGTGTATATGTATGTATATTATAGTTTCAATATAGTTTTTGCATAACAATTTAAGTTTAGTAAAATATTTGCCCATATTTTTATTTTTATACTTAGATTTCTTTAGGGATCAGGTCTTTAGTCAACAAAATTCATCTATGGCAGTATCTCTTCAAAGTGTGTTCTGTAAAACATCTGTTCAACCATCTGGAATGTTTACAAAGATTTTTCTGGGTCTTCTTAGCCCAGGGGATCATGATTTGGCAGTTTTGGATTAGGGTAGCCGGGGTCAGGTAGGGATGAGGTGGGTGAGAACTCAAGAGTATACACAAATTTGAATATGTATGTTTTAAAAACTTTTAGTTGAATTAAAGAATTTGTTTTGCTAAAATGTATAAAGTGACTTTATTTAAGTTTAAGGTATATAGAATTTTGGCAAAATTTCAGAAGATGATTATCTGCTCCATTTTCATTCCCTCCAGGCTGAAAACTTGAAATGGCCCTGCCCATCTTGGCTCTACACCACCAGCCGGAAGAATGTGGCAGAGGGCCGTTCAGGAGTCCTAGGAAACCGGGTTGCTTATCAAGCTGCACGTAGGATCCCCAAGTGCTGCAGGCCTGTCACTGGGCACCGCAGGGACAGGTACCACTGGATCAATTCAAACCGATAATACTGAGAACAAGGTTGTGGTGTGAGAGCTTAAAGGACAGGCTTTGTCTTCCCTAAAATGAAAATGAGTCTGAGGCTCTTGAGAGGCCCATGAAATAGAAAAAAATGCATAATGGTGAATCCTCTCACACAGATTAAGACTTTGTTCTTAGCTATACTTTTTAATTCTTATTTAATTTTTTATGAAG